GTCATTATGGCTGTATGGGGGGGAAGCTGCAGGGGTCTCTGGGGACCTGCTGTCATTATGGCTGTATGGGGTGGGGGGAAGCTGCAGGGGTCTCCGGGGACCTGCTGTCATTATGGCTGTATGGGGTGGGGGGAGGCTGCAGGGGTCTCTGGGGACCTGCTGTGATTATGGCTGTATGGGGTGGGGGGAAGCTGCAGGGGTCTCTGGGGACCTGCTGTCATTATGGCTGTATGGGGGGCGGGGTGCAGTGCTCTCCAGGGACCTGTTTGTGATTTGTCTGTATTGGGGGGGAGGCTGCAGGGGTCTCCTGGGACCTGCACTGGAGATCGTGTCCAACCTGTGCCCCCAGTGAGGCAAGCTGGGGAGGGAGAGGAAAGCCGGGTAGCCCAGGGCTCCTGTGCTTGGAGTGGGGAGGTTGGGATTCTGCAGAGGGCTGGAGGGGCAGGAACAGGAAGAGCCCCTCCTCAGTTTCTCCACCTGAGGCCCCCCTGCAGTGCCTTTCTCAGCCTCACCTTATTCTGCCCAGGGGATTGGCCATGGACCATGGGGTTTGGAACAGAAAGCCTGCCTCTGGTTTCAGACTCGGCAAGTTCCTTCTGTAGGAACCCCTGATCCATGGCTTCTGTGTCTGTGGGGCGGAGGTGGCAATTGTGGCCCCAACTGCTTCCCAGGGCAGTTATGGCTTTCAGGTGTGGTCATGGCTGTGGTGATGCTTCCCAACACACTGCCCAGGGTGTGGCACCAGCCTTCCCTTTGCCCACAGGATGATGCCGAGTCTCTGTTCATCCATTGACCTGCGTCTGCACAGGACACCTGGGTGGGGCTGTGGGGACACCAGGATGAGTGGCCATGTGTGTGCCTGCAGAGGGTGGTGTCCTCATGAGGTGGAAGGCCTGGGAGCTGGCTGGAAGTAGGCTGCCGGGCCTCATTGCAGGGGAGACCATGCCATGATGTGGCTTGCAGGGGCCCCAGGGGAGTGGGGCTGGCTCTGCTCACTCCCACACGGCCTGGGCCCCACGTGGAATCTGAGCCAGAGACATATGGACGCCCTAAGTCCTGCCAGCCTTTCTAACGTCTCCCCCTCCTTGTCTCCCACAAGGCCAAAGAGCTGCAGGATGAAGTATTGAAGCTAAAATTGGGATTAGCCTTGAACAAAGACCGTCGATGGGCGGCCCTCACTGGAAACCTGTCACTTGGCCCGCCAGCGGCACAGCCACAAAATACATTTTTTAACACAAAATACGAAGAATCAGGAAATGTTCGCAGATACAAGTGACACCAGGTGGCTGGACTAACAGAGGCGTCTTCAGACAGGAACCGCGCTTCTTCTTTCCAGGCGTCGCCTCCTGTGTGGTGGCCGGAAGAGCGCCAGGTTCAGTGTTACCCTTAGGGCTGATTTCTCGGCAGCCTGTTGTTTTCCCTAGACAAGTCCGTGTTCCTCTCCTGAGGCTGTGGAAGATTTCAGCCGTATTAACAGAAAGGACACTGTGAGCACGTGGTCTCGCTTTCACTTCTTTCCGCAGGTTCCTGCCAAGCCACGTGACAGAATGCTCATGCTCAGGCGCCTGCCTCTCTCCTGCCCTGGAGCCCTTGTTACAACAGTACTCACAGCTTTCATTCACTTAGGTATTTGAGTGTGAGATAGGAGACCAGGTCATCTGATTCCCGCCAAGCCACAAGTCCCTGCAGCACCACCTTTGGCTAGGAGGGAGGGGTGAGAGCCAAAAGGGGCTTCAGGGGGAGTGGTTACCCTGCTCCCTGCCCAGCTATGGGGTCCTCCTTTCCCCTGGAGGCCCTCCTTTCCCCTGCTCCCTGCCCAGCTATGGGGCCCTCTTTCCCCTGCCCCCTGCCCGGCTACAGGGCCCTCCTTTCAGCCTTGACCCCCTCCTGGTTGCTGCCACTCAGCCTGCACGTGGGACAGCGGACTCCACCCCAGGGACACGGCAGGGTCCACAGACCTCCGCGTCGTAGACAGCCCTATTTCACCCTCTGTCTGCGCAGGCTGTGTAGATTCTGTGTGACTTAGTCTCTTGTGATGAGTGTTTGATTGGATCTTTTTTTTTTTTTTTTTTTTTGAGACGGAGTCTCACTCTGTCTCCCAGGCTGGAGTGCAGTGGCCCGATCTCGGCTCACTACAACCTCTGCCTCCCGGGTTCAAGCCATTCTCCTGCCTCAGCCTCCTGAGTAGCTGGGACTACAGGCCTCAGCTAATTTTTGTATTTTTTAGTAGAGACGGGGTTTCACTATATTGGCCAGCCTGGTCTTGAACTCCTGACCTTGTGATCCGCCCGCCTCGGCCTCCCAAAGTGCTGGGATTACAGGCGTGAGCCACCGCGCCCGGCCAATTGGATCTTGAAAACATCTTTGGTTTGATTTCTTTAACAGAGGTGAGACTATTCAGACTTTGTTTCTTTTTCTGTTAATTTTGGTAAATATGGTTTTCAGTGAGTTTCCTCATTTCATCCAAGTTGTGCGATGTATTAGCATAAAGTTCCTCTTATTTTCAGTATCTTGAGGATCCGTAATAAGGTCCCCTCTTTTATTCTTGACCCGGTGTTCTTCATCATTCTTGCTATGGATTTATCAATTTTGTTCCTCTTTTCCAAAAGCCCTGGGTTTTGGCTTCACTGGATTTGCTGTTTGTTTTCTGTCTCATGGGTCTCTGCGCCCCGCACTTCCTACTTTCCGAGCTAAACGCTCAGAAAGTAGGAACTGGTGCTTAGAGAGAAATGCATCACCACCCAACCCACGTATTAGAGAAGAAGAAGGGTGTGAAATTGATCATCTAAGCTTTCCATTCAAGAAGCTAGAAGAGGTGTCAGTGACCTGTTGCAGCCCAGCAGCTGGAGCAGCAGACCTTTGCCATTTCTCATTTCTCAGGCCTGAGGGCAGGAGTCGGGGCAGCTTAGCCGGCGTTGCTGGTCAGGGTCTCTTGTGAGGCTGGAGTCAGCCATGGGTTGAGCTGCTCTCCTTTGAAGGTTTAACTGGGCTTGGGGCTCAGCTTTCGAGTTGCTCACCTGGTTGTTGATCAGAGAGCGTGTCCGCTATGATCCCAGTCCTTTGCCATAGGGCAAGGCTTCACTCCAGCATTTCCTCTTACTCCGTGTTCTCGGGGAATGCGTGGTCTCGGATGCCATCCTTCTCATCTCCGGCATTTCCTGTCACCTCCGTGTTCTCGGGGAATGCATGGTCTCGGAACCCATCCTTCTCATCTCCGGCATTTCCTGTCACCTCCACGTTCTCGGGGAATGCGTGGTTTCGGATGCCATCCTTCTCATCTCCAGCATTTCCTGTCACCTCCGTGTTCTCGGGGAATGCGTGGTCTCGGATACCATCCTTCTCATCTCCGGCATTTCCTGTCACCTCCGTGTTCTCGGGGAATGCGTGGTCTCGGATGCCATCCTTCTCATCTCCAGCATTTCCTGTCACCTCCGTGTTCTCAGGGAATGCGTGGTCTCGGAACCCATCCTGCTCCTCTCCAGCGTTCCCTGTCACCTCCGTGTTCTCATTCTCGTCTCTGCCGTAAGTCCACATCTGCTCGCAGATGCCGTCCACCTTTTCCACTAGATCCTTTTACATCATCATTATAATGATTTTTTAAAATAAGTGTTTTCTTTCAATCAGTTTTAAATTTCAGATGTTGTATTTTTCAGGTCTCAGGTGTCCGGTAATTTTTTGTGAATGCCGATTCTCTGTTGAAATTCTCCATCTTTTCATTCCCTTTATATCTCTTTTCTTCTTTTTTCTGTAACATGTTACATTTGTCTCATAAGTTTTCAGTGAGTGCAAAGCATCGTATAAGTTGACCCTTGAACAAGAGTTTGAATTATAAGGGTCCACTTATAAGTGGATTTTAAAAAATAAATATATTGGAAAAATTTTTGGAAATTTGCAACAATTTGAAAAAATTTGCAGATGAACCACATAGCCTAGAAATATCTAAAAAAAAAAAAAGAAAAGAAAAAGTTAGGTATGTCACGAATGCATAAAATATACAGACCATACATGGACCATTCACAGTAGAGAGAAATGTCGCCATAAAGATGCAGCATTGGCCGGGGGCAGTGGCTCCCGCCTGTAATCCCAACACTTTGGGAGGCTGAGGCAGGCAGATTACTAAAAATACAAAATTAGTTGGGCGTGGTGACACATGCCTGTAATTCCAGCTACTGGGGAGGCTGAGGCAGGAGAATCGCTTGAACCGGGGAGGCAGAGGTTGCGGTGAGCCGAGATCACGCCACTGCACTCCAGCCTGGGCAACAAGAGCAAAACTCTGTCTCAAAAAAAAAAAAATACAGCATTAAATTATAACTGCATTAAATTAACTGCAGTCCACAGTGTGCTGCTGGAATAATTACAAAGCCACCTCCTGTTGCTATTGCAGTAAGCGTAAGCATTTCAAGGATCTGCTTAAAACACCATGTGGTGCTAATCTGTGCATGGGCAGTTCATGTCTTCAGTACATTGTGTATCACAATAAAAAGTGCTCTGTTGGCCGGGCGCGGTGGCTCACGCCTGTAATCCCTGCACTTTGGGAGGCCGAGGCGGGCGGATCACGAGGTCAGGAGATCGAGACCATCCTGGCTAACACGGTGAAACCCCGTCTCTACTAAAATACAAAAAATTAGCCGGGCGCGGTGGCAGGCACCTGTAGTCCCAGCTACTCGGGAGGCTGAGGCAGGAGAATGGCGCGAACCCGGGAGGCGGAGCTTGCAGTGAGCCGAGATGGTGCCACTGCACTCCAGCCTGGGCGACAGAGTGAAGACTCCGCCTCAAAAAAAAAAAAAAAAAAAAGTGCTCTGTTTTAACTGAACATAGTGGCACACACCTGCAGTCCCAGCTACTCAGGAGGCTGAGGCAGGAGGATCCCTTGAGCCCAGGAGGTCGAGGCTGTGGTAGTCTGTGATTGCACCACTGCACTCCAGCCTGGCCAACAGAGTGAGACCCCAACTTGAAGAAAAGGTGCCATCTGGATGTTCTTGTGTATTTCTCGTGTTTAGCGCAATACCATAAACCTTGAAGAGCACTTCGGGGCCCATGGAGCACCACCAGTCACGCCAAAGAGCTCCTGAGAAGCAGAGAAAAGTCACGACATTTCAAGAAAAAATTGAGTTTCTTGATATGTTCCTAAGATTGAGGTTTACAGCTGCGGTTGCCTACCAATTCAAGATAAATGAATCCAGCGTAAGGACTGTAGTAAAAAAAGGAAATTTGTGAGCAGGCAGAAAAGCCTTAACACTTTCTGTGAAATACCTTTTTATCTTGTATTGGGAATGCAGCTTTTATGTGGGTGCAGGGTTGCTGTGTGTGATGGTTCATATTAAGTGTCAACTTGATTCGATTGAAGAATGCAAAGTATTGTTTCTAGGTGTTTCCAGAAGGGATTAACATTTGAGTTACTGGACTAGGAGAAGACTCACCGCAGTGTGGGTGGACACCATCCGATCGGCTGCCAGCATGGCTGGAAAAAGCAGGCAGAAGAAGGTGGCTGAAGCTGACTGGCTAAGTCTTCTGGCCTTCATCCTTCTCCCGTGCTGGATGCCTCCTGCCCTTGAACATTGGATGCCAAGTTCTTTGGCTTCTGGAGTCTTGGACCTACACTGGCGTTTTGCCAGGAGCTCTCGGCCTTCGGCCACAGACTGAAGGCTGCAGTGTTGGCTTCCCTCCTTCAGAGGTTTGGGGACTCAGACTGAGCTACTACTGGCTTCCTTGCCCCTCCGTTTGCAGACAGCCTGTTGTGGGACTTCACCCTGTGATCCTCTGCATCAGTTCTCCTTAATAAACTCCCTTTCGTGTATGTATATATCGTATTGTGTCCTTCTAGAGAACCCTTACTGATACACTATGAGAAAGGTATACCTATAGACTCCTCAAACAAAAGGAAGGGGAAGGAGCTGAAGCTGGAGGATCTAATCCCAGCAAAGGATGGTTTGACAACTTTAGAAAGAGGCTTGGCTGGAAAAATACCAAGATAACGGAGAAGCAGCTTCTGTCGGCCAAGGGGCGGCAGACAAGTTCCTGGATACAGATACCATGAAGAAAGTCACTGAGGAGAAAGAGGATAAAGGATGTCTGCCTGAACAGGTTTTTAATGCAGACCTAAGTCCCCTATTCTTGAAAAAAAAAATGCCACAGGCATGAATGAGGAAGACAAGCAAGTACCAGAATTTAGGGCAGGAGGGGAGAGGCCAGCTCTGCTGTTCTGTGCAAATGCAGCCAGATTATGATCAGGATGCCCTTATCCAGAAAGCTGCTAACCCCCGAGCTTGAAGGGAAAAGAGAACACCAGCTGCTCCTTGGTCGTACAAGAAGGCTGGACAAGAACCTCTTTTCTGGGTTGATTCCATCAATGCTTTGTCCCTGAAATCAGGAAGTACTTTGCTGCTTATAAATGACTGCCTTTTAAAGCTCTGGTATCGGACAATGCCTGTTGGCCACCCAGAACCCCATGATTCAACAATGAAGGTGTCAAAGGAGCCCACTTGCCCCCAAACACGTCTCCAATGCAGCCTCTGGCCCAGAGGCCATAGGGACCTTGAAGCCTCATTGTATGCGGCACTGTGTGGACAGGAGTGTAGTGCTGGCAAAGAGAACTTCAGAGAACACCATGAAAGGCTGAGGGATCACACACTGGACTTGCCGTCATGGTTGGAGGAAAGGCTGGGAAAGCCACGAAGCCTGAAAGGGCACGTTCTTGCTGGGGAAAACCGTGTCCAGATGTTGTGTACAACTTCGCAGCACTGGTGACAGCCCATCCCGGAAGTGATGGAAAAGGAGTGGAATCCTGTCTCTTGTCACCACCTGGTGGAACGGAGGTCATTATGGTACATGAAGTAAGTCAGGCACAGGAAAACAAGCATCACTTGTTCTCACTTGTGGGGGCTAAAAAAGTGGATCTCATGAAGATAGAGAGCAGACTGGTGGTGACCAGAGGCCAGGAAGTGGGAAGTAGGGGTGCAGGGGGTGAGTGGAAATGCACAGTGAGATGGAGGAAATAAGACGTGGCGTTCGATACGTCAATAGGGCGACTACCTCACGTTAGTCAATTGCACATTTCCACATAGCTAGAAGAGAATCCTTCAAGGTTCCCAGCAGAAAGAGCAGAAATATTCAGGGTGATGGGCACCCCCGTTACCCTTACTTGATCTTCAGACGTTATACGAGTATATCATATTATCGCATGTACCCCCAAAATATGTACATTTATTATATAGCAATTGAAGAAACTGTGGAGAGAGCAAAACAGATGAGGGCGAAGAGTTTCCAGATACAGGTCTTGGAGAAATGGAGGAGCTAATAGACGCTGCACCAGAGCAACAAACAGAAGAGGCCGAGGGAGACGAGTGCTTCCAAACCGGGCGATGAGGAGGAAGACAGAGAGGAAGCAGTGCCGGGAAAGAAGCTGACCCGGGGCCCTGGCAGCAGCATTCCCGCCATTCAATCTGTCTCTGCCCTCTTTCGGGACATGGGCCCGTCTGTGATGCAGGCGGGGAGACTGAAGCGAGCTCGGGAAGGCGGACGGGGACCGCACAGAAAGTTTAGAGAAATGAAAGAGCAAAGTCAGACAGAAGTTACGTGCATTTCTGTCAAGTCACCCAGAGTGTGCCTGCCTCTCCTGCCTCCCCTGCCTCCTCCCCAGCCGCTGCCTCTGCCACCCCTGAGACTGCAGGACCAGCTCCTCCCTCTCAGTCTACTCAACCTGAGAAGGACGAGGACAAAGGCCTTTCTGAGGATCCACGTCCACTTAATTCGTAGTAAATAGATTTTCTCTTCCTGATGATTTTCTTACCATTCTCGTTTGTACCTTACTGTAAGAGTGCAGTATATAATATACCATACAAAATATGCGGTACTTGAACGTTAGTGTTACCAGGAAGGCGTCCCATCCATGGTAGGCTATTAGTAGTTACATTTTGGGGAAGTCAGAAATAATATGTGGATTTTCAGCTGCGTGGGGCATCAGCGCACCGTAAACCCCGCCTTGTTCACGGGTCAACTCTAAACAAACCACGGAGACTACGGACGGTGCTGGTTTCCTTGAGAGGACTGACCCTTTCCTCTGTTAAGCACATACGTGGGTACAGGTTTTATCACCTTCGTCCCAGCAGGGCTTGCACTGGGTGGAGCCTGGGTCACAGCTTCAGTTACTCCTTGTCGGCCTCTGCTTTTGGCAGGCTGGTGGGTGAGACCTGTCCTGGGCTTGCTGCGAACCCCTGAGATTTCACCCTCTCTCCAGAACAGCCCCTCAGCTTCCTGTGCTGGTACCAGACCCTGAAAATGGCCTGGGGAACCAACTGTTTCTCTGCTGCCCTAGACCCCGCCCCGGGACCTCCAGCAGCCCTGCTTCCTGTCTGTGACACCCTGGGCCTCAGCCTGGGCAGGCTGGGATGCAGCAGCTCTGGTCCCCCTCAAGGCCCTCCAAGGCTGCCCTGGGCTCCCAGCCTCACACACGCCCTGCGACTCTTGCATCTGGCCTTCCCCCGTGGCTACAAGAGCAGGAGGTCATCGCTCACCTGGCCCAGAAGTCACACTTCATTCACTGCAATCTTTTTAAAAGAATCACTTTGCTTTAATTATGCTTCTTAAAACAGTGTATAGGAAAAACTCCAAGCCTGTTAGGTTGTGTTAAAAAAAAATACAGCTAATAGAAAATTCCAGGTAATTCGCATTTAATGTGGTAACCACACGCTTGCATTCCCTCCATCTTTGTTTTGATCAAGTCTCTTCATTCCATTGTTCTTGTGAACCTGCAGTACCTCTATGCTGTTCCCTTCTATCAATAGTTACATTCCCCCACTTTCTCTCATAATCAGATTTTTCTCTATCAATTTTTGAGAACTGGGCTTTCTCTTCCCTTCGTTTTCTTCTCCCCTGCCTCAGCTGAGGCCTTTAGAACGTCCTGATGTCCCGTTTCTCTCTATCCTGTCTCAGTTACCTGTTGCTGTGACAGACCGCTTAGTGGTTGAAAACAGCAGCCTACCCCAGTCTCAGAATGCTTTGGGTTGACCAGGCGCAGCAGGGTGGCTCTCCCGTCCTTGGACTGTCTGCAGGGGCACCAGTGATCTGATGGCCCTGCTGAGCTGAGACGTGCAGGATGGCACCCTCACATACCTGGCACTCTGGCCAGGTGGCCTGGAAGGTTGGTCTCAGATGGGATGCTGGGATCACTGGAACTACCTTTCTCAGGACGTCTCTGGCTCCCATGGTCCCTCCCTGGGGTCTCTAGCAGGGTGCCTGGCCTCCCTCCATGGAGGCTGAAGGCTCTAAAAGTGCAGAGTGAGAGTGTCCAGGCCTTCCAAAGACTTGGGCCTATCCTGGCGTGCCCCAGTTCCTCCGCATTCTCCTGGGGAAGGTGAGTCCCAGGGCAGCCCAGGTCTCTGTAGAATGACAGGCAGCAACCACAGCCTACCTCCTGCGCTGCACCTCGGCTCTGGCCTGGATGCCGTGAGCTGTCCTGGGCTGGATCCGGAAGCGCTGAGTCTCGTCCTTGTCTCTCTGAGTCCATGTTATTGTTCTGTCTTCCGGCTCCTAGACTTGTGGAGGCACGGCCCGGGTCAGCAGGATTCCGTCTCCTGTAGAGGCATCTCCTGTCTGTCTGGAGGCCGTGGGATACTCACCAGCCTTTGAGTCCAGGTCCTTCTCTTCAGCTACACTGGGATGTCAGGAGCCGCCGGACTGTGGGTGCAGCTCTTCCTCCATTTCAGGAAAGCCGTTTGCTTCTCTTCTTTCAAAAATAGCGGCCTCTCCTCCGCCTGTTCCCTCTGTCATTCAGGGGCCCCTCTGATGGACTGTTCAGCTCTGGCTGTGTCCCCGAGCCGCCCTCTTCTCATTTCCTTACTTTTGCTCAGTGTTTCCTCTTCCACGCTTTTCCTTTGGATGCCAACATTTGCATCCTCTCTGTCTGTTCATTTGCTGATGTTTCCTTGGAAAACCCTTTATTTCTTGGCTCTAGAAGTCTTGTGTGGTGAGCGCCGTGCTGGGGTCTCCTTGGGCCCTGGCTGGCGCTGCCGGTGCCATCTTTCTGGCACGGGTCTGTTTGACTGAAGTGGCCTTCACTCGAGAATTGCACCTTTAGATAGGAGATGATTCTTTGGTGGCTCCTTGGGTCAGGCCCGGCTTGGGTCAGGCCCTGCTACCAGCCATGGGTGGTACGTCAGGGCCCTCCCTGCTCTCTGGCCAGTGCTGTGGACATCGGCCCCCCGGGCAACTCGTGCACGAGCACCACTCCCTGTCCTGGCATCTCCGGGATGGGGTGTGGGTGCCCAGAGCTGGCTCTTCGTGGGAGACAGGAAGAGTGAGGTGCACCCACCATGTGGTACCCCCTTGTCTGACTCTTGTCTGGGGGATTCCAACTGGGGTCCCCTGAGTCCTTTTGTTTTTATGAACCTGCCAAGATGCTGCCCACCTTTCCCTTGAAGCCACCAGTCACTGCTTTTGCTGTGACACAGGAGAATGCGCCCTGTGTTGGCCTCAGGCCCTGGGCACAGCCCAGCCTTAGCGTTGCCATGGAATCCAAGTCCTGTGGGTCAAGGAGTTTTCATGACAAGGTGCTGCTGGATGGGCCCTGGGGGGAGTCCGCATATCGTGGGGAAGACCGGGCTCCCAGCAGAGGCAGCAGCTGGAAGGTGGGGTGGAGGCAGGAACGAGCCGACCACTTGTCCTCTGGGAGGGCCCACCGTAGGAATCCGTGTTCTCCTGCCTGTCTTCCAGAGGCCACGGTCATGCCCTCATTTTCCACATCACCCTTCCCATGGTCATCTGCCCTCTCTCACCCTCTAAACCCTGACCTCACTCAGTAAGAGGCCCCATTTCAAGGGGACCAGGAGAGCCTGCCTGCCCGAGGATGGCTATGGTGGGTAATTTCTGCTGGGCAGGGTAGAGGAGCTGGCACAGAGGCCACCACCCAGACCCCTGCTTGGAAGGTGCTTACAGGCTGGTGGGGGAACGGTGCTGGAGGCCCTGCGCCCACCCTCCACCCTGTGACTCAGCCCATCTTCTGAACGTGGCCCTGCTCCTGATTGGGCCCTGCGGCCAGCTGGTCCCTGCGGCCTCTCTGGATCCTGTAACCTCTTGTAGATTTCAGGTGTCTGTACAGGAGGCGCCCCTCTCCCTGGTGGATGTGGGGTGTCTGGGCGGGAAGACCCCTCTCCCTGGTGAATCTGGGGTGTCTGGGTGGGAGGCCCCCCTCTCCCTGGTGGATTTGGGGTGTCTGGGTGGGGTCCCCCTCCCCTGGTTCCTGCTCTGCTGTTCTCTTTGCCTCCCTTAGCTGCGGAGTGAGTACCGTCTACGCCGACTTCCAGATCAGGGTGTCCTGAGCTTCTGGGACTTCTCATTTTTCTGCCCAGCTGCCTTGGGAAGGGAAAAGGGAGGCAAGAGCCCAGAGCCAGGCCTGAGAACCCCCAGGGGGCACGAACCGTGCTGCAGAAGGCAGGTGGTCTGGGGTGGCCTGGAGAGAGCAGCAGCCTCAGCAGGGGGCCAGCGCGTGGGAAACGTGAATGTGGTTGGCGGACGCTGCCAGGGGGTCACAGGGTCACAGGCCGTGTCCCAGCAGTGCTGATGGGCATCGCCAGCCCTGGGGTCCCAGGACGCAGGCCCAGCCTCCCGTGAACCGAGTTTACCTGCAGGTGGCGCCCCAAGGCCGGGCGTGGCACAGGTTCATGGTGGGGGGAGGGGGGCCGCCGCGGAGCCACCTGCAGGGGCTGGGGGGCTCTCACTGAGGGAAGCAGCTGCCCGGCCCTGGAGGTCCCACGCCAGGCCATGGGAACAGGGTGGGCACTACAGGGCAATGTCCCAGGCTGAGAAAGCAATCGGCCCAAACACCTGCCCTCCTGGCTCCCCCAGGGAAGCCTGGCTCACCTCATGTGTGGATCCCTGAGTCCTGCCCCGCAAGTGAGCCCAAAACAGGAGGGCCAAGCCCACAAACGTCCGTGGGGAGCCGGCCAGGGAAGATGCCGTTCAGGCCCCATGCACTTGGCCCGGGTCTCAGGACACACAGCGCAGAATCCGGCATGGGCCCTGGGGCGTGAGGCCAGACACAGAGTTCAGGTGACCTCAAGGACGCCTTGCTGGACTTCCCCAAGTGCTGGCCGGGCTGTGGGGACAGCTGGGCTTGGGTCCCTCTTGTCACTGTTGGAAGCTGGCCCCACACCCACCACACTCACCAGCTCCTCCATGCGATCAGGAGGCCAGGGAGTGGAGAGGCTGGGGAGAGCCCTCAGGGCTGAAGCCCAGTGTGGGGGCAGCTCTCCATCCCAGGGCTGGAGCTGTCGGGGTGCTGCCTGGCTGCTCCCTCCACCCAGGAAGGAATGAGGCCCTCCCAGCAAGCTCTGCTCCCCTCAGGCCCCGGGCTGCCCAGAGGCCCCCCAGTCAGCCTTTCTCAGCCAGAAGGTGTTCATTTCTGTGCATCTGGGAGAATGCAGGCGACAGCCTCCAGTGCCCTCCAGCCCCAGCCCAGGGGACCCTGCTCCCTTCTGCACCTCCTCCCTCAGGCATCCTGTGGGGGACAGCACAAACACCTGAGCTCTCCCTCACCACTGGAGGAGGGCGAGGACAGGAGCCCCACAGCCCAGCTGCACGCTGCCGCACCTGTTGACATGCCAGTGCCTCCCTAGATCCAGCACAGGCCTCTGCTCTTGGCCCTCCAACCACACCTCAGAGAGCCCCACTCTGTCTGTGGGTCCGCCTGGGGTTTACACCTCGGCTCAGGACAACCCTGAGGTCACCTGAACTCCGTGTCTGGCCCCACACCCCAGGGCTCACACCAGGTTCTGCATGTGGAGGGGTCGGGACAAATGCACAGCCACACCCACCAGGAGGAGGGTTAAGGTGAAAGAGTTTGCAGGGAGGCCCCTGGGCCCCAGGCCACCACACGTCACTAGGAGTCTCTGCCTGGAGGGAGGAGCACACGACCTCTCGTACCTACCCCCAACACTCTGGGCACCGGCTGGCTCCTGCCCTTTAGGAGAGCAGGAGGTCAGGGTCAGGGAGTGGGAGGTCAGGGTCAGGGAGCGGGAGGTCAGGGTCAGGGAGCGGGAGGTCAAGGTCAGGGAGCAGGAGGTCAGGGTCAGGGAGCGGGAGGTCAGGGTCAGGAAGCAGAAGGCATGAAGGGGCCTTTGCAAGCTGGGCGTGAAATGTTAATATACCCTGAGAGGTTTTCCTCCAAGTATCCCAGATGTGGATACCAACTAGTTTAATGACGAAATATCATGGTGTTTTTAGCAAACAGAAACCCCACCTTCTAGTATGAGGTTTGACAAAACTGTCAGATTAAAAAACCCACAAGCAGGGCATAGTGGCTCAAGCCTATAATCCCAGCATTTGGGAGGCTGAAGTGCGAGGATCACTCGAGTCCAGGAGTTCTAGACCAGCCTAGGCAACATGGCAAGATCCCGTCTCTACAAAAAGTAAAAAATTTTCCAGGTGTGGTGACGAAACCACCAGATACTCAGGAGGCTGAGGTGGGAGGATTGCTTAATCCCAGGAGTTTGAGGCTGCAGTGAGCCATGATTGTGCCACCGCACTCCAGCCTGCGCGACAGAGCAAGACCCTGATTCATTTACAATAAATAAGTCCCTACAGCAAAGACTTCTCATGAGATTGGTGAGGTCCCTTACAAAATGACACCAGGAGGCCACCGGGACTCTGGGCAGTGTTTAACTGCGGGAGTTTCTCATGGCGTCCATGGCTGTGTTGACGGAAAGGTGCTAGTCTGGCTGTGGGGCCCACAGGCATTGGCTCTGTGAAGGGAGGCCCCAGCCTGGCAAGGCCGAGGGGCCCAGCGTCCACCCAGAGTGCCTCTGGGAGATGCATCAGGGCACAGCTCAGCTGCCTCCCTCACCTCGGCCTCTTTGCACTCAAACTCCGGAAAGCAGGCAGAGAAGACTGGTGTCTGGTAGGTGCCTCTTGTGAACTGGAGGTGCCCGAGTGCCTGCTGTGTTCCTGGTGCCCACACCCTCAAGTGGTGGGCTCATCTCCAGCAACCTCCATGGCAGGCGCCCTGGAAGACCCTAGAGCAGGGGTGCAGCTTCACCTCCCTGTGGACCAGCAGCTCCAGGGCTCTCCTGCTTTTAAGTGCTTCCCAGTCTGCATGAGCTGCTCAGGCCAGGCAGGGGCTTCCCAGTCTGTGTTTGCTGCCCAGGCCAGGGGCTTTTACGGGAACGCAGGCTTTAGGACTCTTGTTCTGTGATGGGCCACTTCACACTGCACCTCTTTGTGGAGAACCTCACCAGGAATGTGCCAGTGTCCTTGGTCATGGGTTCTTCTGAGAGATCCGTGTCTGGCCAAGCCGTTTGGATCAACATGGTGGAGGCTTTTCCTCTCTCCAACATTAGGACCTCAAGGATTAACTTCAAGCCAGGAAACGAGAACTTCAGGTCCTGGGAATGACCTTCGGAGGAGAAAGCTTACAACCTGCTAAGCCAGGCTGCTGTGTTGTCTGTGATCCCAGGGGCCCAGGGCCGGGTTCAGGCGTTCTGGATTGGTTCTCTGGTCATGGAGAACAGGACGGGTCTTGCTGAGAAACAGCCAGCTCCTTCAGAAACTGAAGGGTCGCAGATCCACTGTTTGGAAACCAAAGCAGCTGTCTGGGGATGGGATGCCCCACCCTAAAAATGTCTTTGCCCAGATGCCTGCAGCCACAGGGCCTCTTGAACCTGCATCTGGACGGGATTCGCAGCCACTGCTGAGAGCCAGCCTGGCCCTGGGGGCTGCCTCGGTTCCCCTGCCAAAGACCTGGGAGGGCACAGGTTATGGGGTGGCTAGAGGCTTCAAGAGCAGCTACCTGGGAGCTGCTCACCTGCCTGAGTTCTTCTGCACCGCAGGCCTCAGCCAGATACCAGCAGGGGCAGATAGCACACACAGCAGGTGGGCACAGGGTTTGCATCTCCCACTTGGCCCTGAGCATAGCACAAGGCCTCAGGTGCACCCAAGGATCCCACTGAGGGCCCAGCTATACAAGTATCATAAGAGTGGTGGTGGTGGTGGTGCTGGTGATGCTGGTGATAATGGTGATGGTGATATGGTGATGGTGATGATGGTGATAGTAGTGGTGAAGCTATGTATGATGATGGTGGTAATGGTGTTGGTGGTGAAGATAGTCGTGATGGTGACAGTGGTGGTGGTGTGATGGTGATGATAGTGGAGATGGATGGTGGCGGTGATGGTGGTGAGAGTGATGATGGTTGCAGTGGTGATGGTGATAGTGATGGTGGTGATGGTGATGGTAGTGGTGGTGATGGTGGTGGTGGTAGTAGTGATGGGGGAGGTGGGATGGTGATGATCATGATGATGATAGCAGAGGTGGTGGTGATGATGGTGGTGATGGTGGTCATGATGGTGGTGGTGGTAATGGTGATGGTGATGGTAGTGGTGATGGGGGAGGTGGGATGGTGATCATGATGATGGTGGTGGTAGTGGTGATAATGATGCTGGCGATGGTGATGGTGGTGATGATGGTGGTGGTAATGATAATGGTGATAATTGTGATGGTAGTGGTGATGGGGGAGGTGGGATGGTAGTGATCATGATGATGGTGGTGATGGTGGTCATGATGATGGTCGTGGTGGTAATGGTGATAATGGTGATGGTGATGGTGGCAGTAGTGATGGGGGAGGTGGGATGGTGATGATCATGATGATGGTAGTAGTGGTGATGGTGGAGGTGGTCATGATGATGGTGGTTATGATGCTGATGGTGGTCATGATGATGATGGTGGTGGTGGTGGTAATGGTGATGGTGGTTGTGATGATGGTGGTGGGGGGGTGGTGGTAATGGTGATAAGGTGATGGTGATGGTGGAGGTGGGATGGTAATGATCATGGTGATGGCTGTAGTGGTGATGGTGGAGGCTGTGGTGGTGATGGTGGTGACTGGTGATAATGACAAAAGTGTTGATGATGGTGATGGCAGCTGACTCATGGAATTTTTACTGGGGCTTGTGCTGTACTAAGTATCTCATGTTTATTAACTCACTTAATATTCAGTACAAGCCTACACGGTAGGTACCGTGATATTTCCCACTTTGCAGAGGAGGACACTGAGGCACAGGGGAGGTGGCAGTCTCCCCAAGGTCACATGGCAGGACTCTAGCAGTCTGGCCTTAGAGTTTATGTGCCTGGTCAGCTCTCTGCACCACCTCCAGTGGAGTCTTGGCAAGTTCTCTTCCTAGCCAGTCCTTTGAGATACTGCCTCAGGGGATGTGACCCTATATCATCCTGATAACCCATGGGGCAGGGAGACAGCTCCAGACCAGCCCCTGCAGGGTGGTCAGACAAGACAAAGTTGGCTTTCCAGACCCACACTGCCCTCCAAGGGCTTCCAGACTGGAGCAGAACAAAACAAACACTGCCCAAAGGATCTGTGGCCTGCTAGAAGGTCGAGGGTTCCCGGCTCAGGACCTGCAAAGATTGCCTTGAGCCCCTGCCTCAGACGACATGACTAGGGACAAGGCATGTGTTCCCCAGGCCGGCCTCCCTGCCAGATACCTTAGATGAGGCCTGGCGTGCTCCTGCACCCCAGTCTGTCCAGGCTTCTTGGGTGATACATGATTGCTTACTGAAATCAGAGCAGGCCCTCTGTATTAAAGGCTTCATCCTGTCTCCTGCCTTCCACAGCTGCTGTGGGCATAAGGCTTGCCATGAGGCGACCTGGGTCCCAGCCTCAAGGCCCATCCCCGCCTTTGGCCTCTGGGCACCAGCTCTGGAGAAATCTGTGGTCTCTGACTCATGGCTGTGGCCTTCGAGGCCTCCATCTTGACCAGACAGCTTCAGTCCATCTCGGGAGCACCTCACTATGCCGCATGAGACTCACACACAGCCAGGCCCTGGTGAGCTCCAGTAAGATCAAGTAAGCCCAGGTGTGTTGGGGGTTGGGGGGATACCAGCTGTCTGGCCAGGTGATTCTGGAGCAGGCTGGACACAGGCCAGGCTGTGGCTGCACCTCAGTCATGGGGAGGCCCCTGTAAGCCTCATCTTGTAGAAGAGACCAACAAAGGCTGAGAACCTGCTCACCACAAGATGCCCCAGCTGGGGCAGGCTGAGGGGACAGGAGACTGTCCAGAACTTCCACAGGGGCTGGGGGTGGGTGACCACCAGTTGGCAGGATGGGTGGCCTGATGGGGCACAGTTGAGGGAGGGTCAAGTCTCAGTGGCGGCGTAGTGCAGTAGGACAGTGCTGGGCAGGTCCAGTTCCCCAGTCAGGAGGGCCCTCTGAGCTCGGACCCTGAAAGACAAGGGGCGGGCATGGCACTGGTGATGAAGGTGAGCCAGGCTGCTGGGGAGGACAAATCTTGGAGCTCCTCCAAGGACCGCAGGGGAGGCAGACCCTGAGGGGAGGTGGCCTGCGGGGATCCTGCCTTGCTCCCCTGCTGTCTCTGGGGACACGGAGGCTAGCCCCTGCTTCCTCCTCCAGCCACCTATCCCTCCCTCAACTGTACCCCTTCAGGCCACCCACCTTGCCAACTGCTGGTCACCCACCCCCAGCCCCTGTGGAAGTTCTGGACAGTCTCCTGTCCCCTCAGCCTGCCCCAGCTGGACCGTCCTGAAGTGGGCATGTCCTAGGCCTTGCTGTGGCTGTGCCTATAGCCAGGGGACCAAAGGCTTTAGGACCTTTTGTTTGGATCAAGTCTCTTGAAGACAAAGTCTAAAGACTCGGACGTGTCTCTCTTCCCACTCTTGGCGTTTTTGCCCCAGCCAGGGGCGTGCGTACTCCCGAGGCTTCTCTCCAGCCCAGCCAGGCAGCTCAGGGTCCTCTCGCTGGGGGCAGCTCCGGTCCCAGTACCCAGGATCCTTCCCAGAACTGGGCAGACTGGCATGAGCAGGGTGGCCCCTGGGGAGATGCTGAGAGCGGCAAGCCTAGGACAGCCCCCCAACCCCTGAATACTGGGTCAGACAGGAGGGGATATCTGGGCTGATGAGGTCCCCAAGGACATCTGCACTTTAATCAGGGACTCTGGAAACTCCCAAGGCCTCTTCTTAAGCAAAACAGGTTGGAGCCGGGCGGGAAGCCAGTGAAGAGCCGGTGGAGGGTGGGGGGCAGGGCTGCTGGGGTAGGCCCTGAACAGCCACCATTTAAGTTGCAAAAATGGTCTCCCTGTCTGCAGATAGTCTTTTTCACACCTTACCCAGTGGAGAGCAGGTTTTAAAAACAGCTTCCAAGTTTACCTTAAAATACACAGTAAATAGCATGGGCCAGAGGGGCAGGAGGTGCCGCGGGCCAGCCATGCTTCTCACTGCCCTCTTCCCCTCTCCAGCCAGAGCTGCCAGCTGCTGGTTGCCTCTGTCCAGCCCTCTGTGCCCCAGAACGCTCTTCCCCCGTCCTGCCTGCCGCCACCCTGCCTCGGTCCCTCTTAAAGCCCAGCAAGTCCACAGGTGGGTCCCTCAGCCCACCCCAAACTGTTCCTCTTGCCGGCGTGGGAAGTCACCAGGAGCCCCATGCGCACGCAAACACCTTGCGGGGGATACTGCCCACTCCCACTCCCACCTCGGAAGCCATTGCTTTTGCCCACCTGGTGAGGCCCTGGTGGATGCTGGTGCTCCCTTGACACTCTTTCTGGATCCCCTCACCTACATACAGCCCCCTGTGCAGTGCTCAGAAAGGGCAGTGCCCAGCAGGCCTCTCCGGCAGGCAGGAAGAAGAGCCAAGCAAGTGGGCAGCCTCAGGATGGCCGCTTAGCCCAACCCCGAGTAGGGTGGCGAGGGGGTCCCTGCTGCCTGGCATTTTTCCTCCAAAGTCAGCCCCACCCCCTGGAGGGGGCAGCTGCAGAGGCCTGTGGGCAGGACAGCAGGGCAGCTCCTCTGCAGGCCTGGCGGCTACGGCGCCTTGAGGTGCCTGAGGCCCCAGTAAGGGCTTAGTGTTGGCGGGAGCCCCAGGCCACACAGAAGAGGACACACGCTCGCTGGGCTTCCAGGCCTCCTCTGGGACTGTCCCTGGCCTCGGTCCCCACCCCTGTTCTGCCAGGGACCGCCAGGTGCCCCAGGCCCCGCGGGCTCCCTCACTCCGGCCGCCCTGGCTCCTCTCTGAGGCTCCCCCTGCCGTGCGGCCGCCGGAGGGCGAGGTCGAGCGGCGCCAGCGGCCCGACGGACCCCAGCGGCACCAGGGGCGGTGGTCCTCCATTCCCAGGCTGGGAGGAGCCGTGCCGCGCGGCGCTGGGTCGCCAGGACAACTCCGCGGTTCCCCGCCCCGCCTCCAGGCCCCGTCGGGCGCTGCAAGCCCGGCTCAGAAGCCCGGCCCGGGGCCAAGGTCACCGCAGCAGGCCGGGCCCCTGCGTTCTGAGCCGGGTGCGGACGCGCTGGTGCTCGGGGAATTCGGGGGCTTTGACGCCTGAAGGCGCGGGAGCCGGGACCCTGCGGGGGTCCCGGGGGGAGGGGGTCCGGCGCCGTCACCTCCCACTCCTCGCCCGCGGGTCGGGGAGCCCCTGCTGCGGAGGAAGGAGGCTGTTTCCTTTGTAAACTGGCGGAGGCGCGCCTGGCCCTTGGGCCCGGGAACCTCCCGACGGAGTTAACCCCACGGGTCCCGGTGTCGGCGACCCCCAGGCGCGCAGGGTGACCCTGAGCCGGGCGCGCGCCCGCTTGTCGCCCGAGAGGCGCCGAGCCCAGTGGGGCGACCCAGTGTCCCGTCCCCCACGCGGCGAGGGCGACACTAGGCCGCTGCCCCCGGGCGCCTCGCGTCTCCTCCGCCCGCCCCGGCTTCCTGCGCGCGCCGCCCGGGACTTCCTCGCCGCAGTGCCCGGGGCCACCAGAGCCCTGCGCGGGGCGCTGCCGGGGCACGCGGGCAGCCGAACCCAGGCGGGGGGATCCGGGACACCGGGGAGGGAGGGAGGGCGCAGGGCCGGGTCCGGAGGGAGACGGGGGCCCGGGACCGGCCCCAGGCAGGGGAGTTGGGGGATGGAGTCCCGGGGCTCCGGCCAGGGCGGGTGTTCCCCCCGCCGCCCCCGGGCTCGTGGCTCTCGGGTCCTCCCGAGTCGGAGGACACTCCCGGCCAGCGTGGGCCGCGAGCCCGGGCGCAGCCCCTCTCCACCCCCGGGGTCCGCAGCGCGCGTCCCGCCGAGCTCTGCGGGCGGGCGCGGCTTCTACCCGTACGCGGCGGCGGCGGCGGCGGCGGGCGGGGTGCCCGGGAGCAGAGCCCGCGGCCGCGCGCCCCCGGCCCGGCACGGCGGTGGCGGCCGCCCCAGCGGAGCTTTGTGACGTCAGGCGGCCGCGGGGCGGCGTCACGCGCGGGGCTGACCCGGCGGCGGCGGCGGCGGCGGCGGCGGCGGCGGCGGCGGGGCGGGGGCGGCCTGGGACGCGGCGGGAGCATGGAGCCGCGCGCCGGCTGCCGGCTGCCCGTGCGGGTGGAGCAGGTCGTCAACGGCGCGCTGGTGGTCACGGTGAGCTGCGGCGAGCGGAGCTTCGCGGGGATCCTGCTGGACTGCACGAAAAAGTGAGCGGGGGCGCGGGCCGGGACACCCCTGGGGTACCCCCCCCCGACACCTCCCTCCTCCCGGAGACCCGGGACCCGCCTCCGGGGTGGGGGTGGCGCGACCCTGGCGCCAGCTTTCGGTTTCTGCCGAGCCCAGGTTTCGGGGCGCGCGAGTGCGGCCGCCACTCGGGGGGCGAAAGTGGTTCTCAAAGTCGTCGCGACTTTTCGCGGCGGGCGCTGGGCCGGGCTGGGGCGGGGGGCGCGGGACCGGGGTCCCGGAACTCCACACATCTGCCATAATTAACGCACTTTTCTTTGTTCAGACCCACTGTTGAATTCAGCTGTTGGCAGAATTGTCGTTAAAACGGGGGAGGGTCAGATGCCCCGTGGCCTTGCCCTGGCAATTACTCACAGGTGGGGGTGCCCTGTCGAAGGCCATGGGCCCCTGGCTGCTGGGAGTGACTCCGCGGCTGAGGTTTGGATTCAGGGAGAGCAGTTGCGCCCAGCTGTGCGTTTTAAGAACAGTTTCAGGCCAGGGAGCCCTGAGTCATGGGGACGTAAAGAGGTACAAGCTGTGGGAGCCATGGGTACATTCCCTGGGAGCCCTGGCTTCCTGGGTGGGGGGCGCAGGGCAGGGCGGGGCGGCTCCCCCGAGCGACACCTGTGCACCGGCTGCAGGGACCCATGCAGTGCAGATGAGCCTCCTGGACACCGTGTCACATGGCAGGGAGCTGTCGCTGCCAGATCAATGATTAGGCACGAATCAGGCTGTGGCCTCGCTGTGCTCCTGCTTTCTTTTGAAACTGGGAGCAGGAAAAGGCTCCTCTTGTAAAGGCCCAACTTTTTCCATCAGTGGAGCCCAGATTTTTGCCCAGCGACATGAATTAGCAGAGAGGACCGTGTTCCTTCCACAATTATTTCGCAGACGTTATCTCTTCATTAGCTGTACCAGAAGCCATGTATCCACAAGTCATGTGATTTAACATATGGCTCCCGTGTGGCTGTTGCCCGCTCCGTGTGGGCTACCGCTGGGAGTGCACGGGCAGGACAGAGCGACACTCGGGCTGCACAATCGCCTCTTGGGAGCTGCCATCCCCTCCACCGTCAGCCTCAGCTTCCTCCGGCAGGCAGGGCTGGGCTTGGTCCTGGTCCGAAGGGCCGCACCCTTGCCAAACCTGCACCACCTTGTCTGGCCTTTCCTCCCTGGAGAGGGGCACGAGCAGCAGCAGGTCGCCCCATTTCCTGGGCTCCTTGACTCAGGACAAGGGAGGCTGAGAATATCTGCAGTGGCCTTGGGCTCTCTTCCCTGAGGCCCATGGCTAACCTGGTTTGCAAATCTACACCACCACCTGCCCTTCCTGGAAAAAACCAGGCCCGATGGGACCCCCGGCGTGGGAACTGGCAGCTGTAGGATGCATGGGTGTCAACCCTGCCTGCCACGTTCAGCTGTAACCAGAGCCGCCCACGGAGCCGGGAGCTGGGCCTCTGCGGGCACAGCCACTTAGCAGCCGCCCTTGCTGCCTTGGGCTGGCCCCCTTGTCCTTGTGGGGAATCTGAAGGCAGAGCAGGTCCCCCGACCCTCAGTCCTGAGGCTGTCCTGGAAGGACTGCTGCTCCCTCCCTCGGTGTCCCTGTGCCTGAGTTTTTCCGGCTGTTCTCCTCTCCAGGACCCTCAGTCCTGAGGCTGTCCTGGAAGGACCCCTGCCCCCTCCCTTGTCTCCCCTGTGCCTGAGTCTCCGGCCGGTTCTCTGCCTTTGTATTCTGAGTCTCAGAGCTCCTGTTTCCAGCCCTGCCTCGGACCACAGGGTGCTGACCTGCCTTCCCCAGGTGACGGTTTCTTGTCAGGGTGTGGTGCCCGCCCTTATCCCTCACGTGTGACAGTGGAGGCCCAGTCCCCAAGTGTGGGTGCTGACTCGCAGGGAAGAGCTGCTGGGAGCCCTGTGACAGGTGTCCGCCCACCTCAGGGAACCTGTGGGTCCCAGCGCAACCGGCGTTGTGCAGATTCTGTTGAGCGCAGGAGGCGGGCAGCCAGGCACCTGTTCAGAGCAATCCCACGGGAATGGCGGCCCCCCTCACACAGGCACCAGGATGCAGGGCTGAGGTGGGCTCAGCAGCCAGCGTTCATTGTTGGCCGGTTTGGGAGATGGCATTATCTCCCTTGTTTGCAAAGCAGAGGGGAGAGGGGCTTGGCAGGCGGTTGGAATTGCCTGGCCTGTGCCGGAAGGCCGTGTGATCTGAAGCGAGATTCTCTTGAGTGTCAGCCTGCGTGTACATCCTGGTGAGTTCACTGCACACCTACTGTGTGCCAGGAAGTGGGCTGAGCCCAGAGCAGGCGGCTTCCAGTGATCTTCCCCGCGTCTGGGCCAATGTGGTGATTCCTTCCAGAGCACTGATGATGCAAGCCTTGCCCTGACCTGCGCTGTTTTGTGGGTGATTTAGGGCTATACTTCCAGTTGAGGATCTTGGGTGGGGTGGCCCTGGCTGAGGGGTGGCTGAGGACAGATGAGGCTCCAAGAGTGGAAAGGCTGGCCTGCCCCACCAGGGCCTCCTGGCTCGATCCCTCAGCTGGTATTTATCGGCCTCCCCCAGTTGTGGGTTGCCTATGGTTCCAGACACAGACTGCTGGAAAGGTCAGGGGACCGTCCTCTGTGAGCCACACCCTAGCTCAGACACCCTAGCTCACACTGAGAACCCCAGACACTGCCTGTCCCGGCAGAAGGGCACCCTGAGCTCTGTCCTGGGCTCACCTGTCCAGGTGGAGGCTCCACTGCTGGGGGCCGCTCTTGGGATGATTCACTCAACAACCCAGTGGGAGCACCGGCCCAGGGCTGCAGTGGTGACAGGATGTGCCCTCTGCCCTTGGGGAGTGAGAGGGACGCAGGCCTAGTGCATTGAAGGCCAGGGCACCGGGAGGCCAGGCTAGCATGGCTGGTGTTAGGAGCGTCTCAAGGGGGTGGCATCTGAGTGAGTGGGTAAGGAGGGTGTGGGTTGGGGACCTGGCCTTGTGCTACTTGGGGAGCCCCACAGGGCTTAGAGAGGGACCATGCTGATGGCTCATAAACCCTTGAGTCCAGGACACCCGGGCCGGCTGTGGCCACCTGGCCCCACCTGCTCTCCCTTGGAGATCTTGGGGCAAGTGCCCACAGGGTGAGGCAGGCTCCCCTTGTGGGGCCTTGGAGGAGGTGCTCCCCGGGTGTCTAGCCTGTGGCTTCTCCTGCCAGCCTGCTTTCCCTAATCCCGGAGAGAGGTGGCCCCAGGAGGCCCCACTGTGCCCTGCAGGCCTGACCCGCCCACCCTGTTTCCCGCATGCTGTCCTGCTGTGGGTGTCTGCAGGGCTGTGGGGAGACTGCAGACGGTTTCTAGACTGACACTGGAGCACAGCCGAGGTCTTGGGTGCCAAACTCAGGTTGTCCTGGGCTGCGCTGAGGCTGCCTGTTCCTGTTCCAGGAGCCACATTTTCCTTACCTCTTTAGGCCACAATAGGGTGGCCTTTCCTCATCAGAAAGCAAGGAAGGAAGGTCCAGGGCGAATGTGGGCCCTGGAGGGCAGACAGGAGGCTGCCATGTGGGCATCTGCCATCTCGTGGCCCTGGTCTGTAGAATGGGGAAGCCGTGGGGAGGCACTGCCGGTGAGTGCAGGGGGCTTGGGCAGGCAGCCAGGGCTGTGCTCCTCCCGGCCATGGCCCCGGGCAGACTTCAGGCCTGGGCCTTTCTGGGAGTTTGGCTGAGCCTGACATCCAGGTGAGGCCCCAGGGCCGCCATGGCCGAGTTAAGGCTCAGCCACTTGTGTCTGGCTGAGGACCTCAGGCCTGGTCTCCAGGGCCCCCATATCCTTGCCGGGGCGCTGCTGTGCCATTAGGAATGGCACTGTGGTACTTTTTGCTTTAGGGTCTGGTCCGTTCTGCAATTAGAGACTCCTGGGCATCTCACCCCTGCCTCAGTTTCCCCAGCCCTTTCTCAAAGCAATGGTTATTTGTTCCGTCCCTGAGCTCGCAAAGATGCTGCATGAGGCTTACTTCACGGGGCCCCTCACATGTCCTCTTCCCCACAGGCAGGGCCCAACTGGTGGCTCTAAAAGGGCAGCCTGGACCCAGCAGGGTCATCTGGCTCCAGGGCCACCCCATCTTCCCACCTGTCAAGGCTCAGTGTTACCTGTGGGGCACAGCCAGGCCAGCGGGGCCCTATCCCTAGGGGTGGGTGTGTGGGGAACCTCTCTGGACCTGTGCACTTCCAGAAGGACCACTCTTCACATCCCAGGGTCCAGGATAAGCCACTGAGGTTCTTCCTGTGCCAGCACCATCCTCATGTCTGGAGGCAGCAGACCCCAGCCGGCACCCACCCACTCAACCTGGAGGCACATTCCCTGGTCTCACCGGCCTCGCCGACCACTCTGAAATGGGAAGACTGATCTATATCTCATGGGGTTGCTCAAGCAGGGCAGGAGCCGAGGTCCCAGCAGCCCGGGGGCCCTGTTGTTAGCTTTGCAAGATCCCAGGGGCTGGGTTCCCCCATCCATTCCAGCCTGGGGAGTGAGCTGTTCCCACTCTGTTTACCCACCAGTGCGTTGGGGTGTGGCCTGGGCAGGGCGGCAGCTCCAGGAAGGAAGTACGGCTGCCTGACGTGCCAGGGTCACCGGCCATTTCTGCAAGGCTGGCTTGTCCGGTCCCTGGGCACTGGTGCAGGTGTGACTCAGGGTCCCAAAGGGGATGGCAAAGCGCAGGCTGCTCCCCACCCGTTTGATCTGCCTGGGGGGGGACTAACCCCTGCCCTGTGGCTAAAGATCCTGGGGCAAGGGGTGGGGCTGGCTCCGTTTGTGGGGCCCTCCTCAGGCTCCTGGCACCTTCAGCCCAGTCCACAACCCCATGTGATCAGGGTGCCATGTTCCCCAGCCCTCGCAGGG